TTTTTGGCAATTGTGCGCTTAGACACATGGACGCTGGCAACCATTTTTGTCTCATGACCTGTTAATCTCATTCCCCTCCGTCTCTCCTCCCTTTTGAGTAGAATGTGGTCTGTATGTGAACTGGGGTCACAAGTGAACAGGCACAGCTGAATAAACTTCATGGTTGTAATCCCTTGACAACCACTTTGCTCTGCCCGGTTGTAAAACCATAACTCAGTCGGTCACGACCTGTAAGCATTACAGCTGGGGTGCCATAAAAAGTACATCCCACATGAGTCATTCTTCATACAAATTCATAAACTTCAGCAGGAAATGGGCACATGGATATGAAGTATATATTCGGATAGGTCATTTTAATATGAGTCACATGACACCTTACATCCCTACAAGAGGGTAGAAAGCAATCTCTTTTATCCGGAGTGGCAAGGTATGCTACAGTTTAGTATCTGTACTTTCGGAATATGATTCTACATATTAATCTGCCAGTTGCTAGGATGCTACCTGTACCTATTGAAGGTTATTGACCATATTATGAACTTGTGAAGGATTTGATCATAACCTTGGTCACCGCCTAACACCCATCCCCAAATGAGGCGATTGGCTCTTTGCTTTCAGGAGATATCCCTTTGAGATACTAGGAAAAAGGCACACGTGCCTGGCGAGAAAAAGTGAGATCTCTCCCTTTTAACATCAGGAACCATCTTTTGGAGAAAGGCAACCTTTTTGTTCGGACAATTGGACTCTGCTCAAACCAAGGCAAGTATCCTGCCTTCTGAAACTTCTTTCTTTTATTTCTCTGTTGTTTTATTGCTCTCTTTATATATATATATATATATATATATATATTTGTTACATCTTTTTCTGTAAATATGTTAATTACACTTTTTTTATCCTTTTTAGTAATAAATCCTATTTTCTGAAAAGTGTTGAACTGTTTCTAAAGCTCTTAATGCAAACTAAGAATCCCTGTCTCTGGAGAGTGCTACTGTATGTATTAATCCTATGAATACATCTGTCTGCGGTGGCAGTGTGTATTACAGACGCTTATTTTATTATCATAGTGTTACGTGAAGGGTTAATTGCGTAATTAACCTGACCCAGGGTGCTGGCACATAGATTGTAGTCCAGCGAGCTGGAAAATCTTTGTGCAGGGCGCAGCTGAGAGCGGAAGGTCCTTCGGTCACAAGTTGGTGAGAAGGGCTGGGGTCTGACTCCACGCACCGTCACAGTCTTACCTCTACATATTCCAGGAGAGCCGAGTTCAGTTTCCAGACACCCCTTCCCCTGGGTGGAGTGTCCGAGGCATTCAGAGTCACAGACAAGAAGTGTTCAGAGAACTCCATCACCCTCAACTCAAGAGCAGAGTTCTCCTTAAAAAAAACCTGTCTACCCTGCCCTCACTATTCCCTCTCTGAAATGTGAAACCCGTGCTGCCAGGGCAGTGCTTAATGTGCACATCTACCAGGCCTGCCTGTCTAACCAAATCTCTGAGAAAAATGCTATCATAACCCAGTCGGTCTATGGAACCTCTCCTATCTTCAGGCCTAATTATGGTGTTAAAGTCACCTCCAAAGACAACCTGCTGGGACGTAAAAAGGAAGAGCTAGATCTTTGTGAGGAGGCATTTCCTTTCCCATTTTGACCAAGGTCCATAGATATTGATCAGGTGTGGGTCCTTTCCTCTAACAGAGATGTCTAAGACCATGCATCTCCCCATTTCTACCTCAATTAGCCACTGGCACGTTACCATATTGGTTTTAAAAAGCACCGCAACTCCGCTGCAAGGCTCAGCTGCAAGAGACCAAAAGGAGGGACCACATCTCCACAGCCATTTTGCTAGATGGACATAGGCCAAGGTATTGAGCTAGGTCTCTTGCAAAAATAAAATCTCAGCATCAAACTCGCTGAGCAAAAATAAGGCCATATCACGAGCTCTTGCAGATTTAATGCTGGCAACATTAATGGTCGCCACCTTTAACGGAGCATGAACTGCCATCAGGATTGGGGCAGTCGTTTCTTAACCTCTACCACACTCTCATCACCCAAAACAGTTCTTTTCAGGCTATGTGGCTCCTTCTCATCCATAGATGATAAAGAATTGAATAAATCAGATTCCATCTCATCACCTGACAAAACTGAATAGGTGTTGCCAAGAGGAACCCCTCCTGGGTCTGATTCTGAAGAAGAAAGGACAGCTCTTCTCATCCTTTTCTTCTTTTTCTTCCCCTTAACCCTCTCTCACACCTCATTAGCTAAATCCCCTTTAGCAGGATATGAGACATAGGACATAGACACCCCTCCCTCAGCCCCATTGGCTCCACCCCCATCCAGCACCCCTACACTCTCCTGACCACGTTTGTGCTGTTAGGGGACAGGTACTGAAAGTCGAGTAGGCCAAGAGGGAAGATCAGCTAAACCTTCCCCCCTAGCAGCTTCCGCTAGTCTGGAGAATCTACGTACAGTAGGATTAGGAACAGGGACAGACTCAGGGATGACATTACTACGGGAAACAGAATCTGATACAACAGACGGAACAGACACAAGCTGGCAACAACAGTTTCCTCCCTAGCATCAGCTGCCTCTCATCTTTTTTATCCAGCCTCTGCAGCTCAGCCTCCAACCCTGTCAGGTTATGTAGTGCCTCTGGGCACTGACTATATGGATGACCCAGCTGCTGACAGAAACTGCACCAAATCTGGGTGCATTCTTTGGCCAAAATCCTAGCACAGTGAGCACTTCTTGATGGTGCAGGATGATGCAAAGTGGCCTTTCTCGCCACATTTATTACAAACCTTAGGCTAACCCTGAGAGAAAATGGTCAACCTATCCCTCCCAAGAAAGGCTGAGCAAGGCAGGTACTGAACCACATTACCCAGCACCCTCAATTGCAGGGACACTGTCCAGGCCCCTGTCCATATCCCATGCTCATCAAGGACCTTCCGCAGTGGGGTGAGGACTTCGCCATATCAGCGTAGCCACACTACCAAATCAGCCTCTGGCATCGATTTTTTGTGGACCAGGATCATCACTGATTTTATCAAAGGCTGCCTAAAAACCACCTTTGGCCCCAAACTTCTCCGCTGCTGAAAGCCCCTGCACTTCCTATATCTCTCCCAAAAGAGATCCAGACCTTCAGGTTTTACAAACGATAAATCATATTCACAACTGCCAACTAGGCAGATCAAAGCAAAAACAGAGGCTTTAAACCCCATCTCCAAAAACAGCTCAGCCACCCTCCCCCTTACTGTTGGGGTTCCCCCCCCCCCCCACCTCAACTGAACAACATTTCTCCTCCTGAATCCACCAACCATCCCACCACCAAACCTCCCAAAATTGTGACCATTAGGATTGCCAACATTCCCTCCACTCCCCTTGGTGCAATTCCCCAAAACAGAAGCATAGCTCCCCACATTCCTCCAAGCAGTAGAAACATTTGTGTGTTTGGATGCAGCTGATAAAACTCTAGAAGATACTGATTGTACAGATTCAAGAATGGATAGTGAATCCTCTCTGCTGAGCAGGGGTAGAAATGTCATTTTTACTCTTGCCAGCAACATTAACCCCTTCACCACCGCCCACCACCAACACATCCATTGCTTTACCAGTATCACCAGTCATATTACTTGTTGACACATTCATAATCTTCACAGCAATGTCCTTACTCACTGCTGCAACCATAGAAACTTTAGTTCCAGCTGTCATTTCTTCCCCCAAGAAAGGCTTTCAGCCCAGGAACGTGCAACCTGTTCAGACATACTAACAAGTGACACACAGGAGACATCCATGTTTGTTGTTTGCTGTCCACATGATGCAGTGTGCTATTCCCCTCCCCAGCATCAACCAGCTCTGGAACACATGGGGGTTCAGGTGAAGCAGAGTCTTTGCAGGTGGCAGCCATCTTGCCTGTAGAGGGACCACTGGTTTCAGCAGGAACAGCAGCAGTAACATCCATCTCTGGGGTGTTTGGTGCAGGTCCATCCACATTCCCCTGATGGTCTGGAGACATTGCTGCAAGGGGTTTTCCCTCCAAGTTGGCTGAGGATTCCTCCACAGCAGAAACTTCCACAGCATGTTGTTTGCAGAACTCCTTCTCATCAGCAGTACTCACCACAGCCGGTGGGGCATACATGTTGGAAGCAGTCATCTTGGTGTACTAGGATTTCTGTACCTCTTCTGTCCATCCACAGGGACTTCTGAAGGGTCATCAGAAAAGGCAAACCTGTCTGCTCTCAGGGGTAATTCCATCTGCTGGATGAAGGTCAGGGTGCCATGCTCACTCTCAACCCCCTGGCTGGTTGCTGCTGACAACTCCGCAGCCTGACATGGGGGGAGAGACGCTGAGGTATGTGGATTCGGGTCAGCCATTACCTGAGGCTGCTGAGCCCCAGAACTCGCTGATGTTTGGTTGGCAACTCTCCTCTCATTGTCAAACCTTTCTTTAAATGCTCCACTTCGGGCTTTAAATTTTTCCAATAATAAAGATTGTTTCTTCACCTTTTCCTCCATTCGCTGTAATTCCAGCTTCATGGCCAATCTGTTTCTTACTCCAGGCCTGGCAGTATTTGTCTCTGAAGGATTCATGCTCATCCTTCAAAACTTTAAGTGTTTCCTCAGCTCTTCCAATAGCCAAGAAACAATCAATAATCTTCTGTCTGAAGACATCCACATCCTCACCAGTGCCTGGACCCACAGTCAGGTCCTCTTCTTCCTCCTCTTCCTCCTCACTAGGCCTTGTGTCATCAGGGGGATCCCTCCCAGGGCCTCCCCCCAGATCAGGCATGGTTCCTGGGCCAAGCTAGCAGGCATGGCCCAGGCTTGAAAACGCTGGTTCTCAGGGAGAGCTCCTTCAGTGTGTCTTCCTCCTTCTCCCACTGACCACCAATGTAAGGGACATTCTTTCCACTGATCACCAGTGTAAGGGACATTCTTCCCACTGACCACCAATGTAAGGGACATTCTTCCCACTGATCACCAATGTAAGGGACATTCTTCCCACTGACCACCAATGTAAGGAGCATTCTTCCCACTGATCACCAATGTAAGGAGCATTCTTCCCACTGACCACCAATGTAAAGGACATTCTTCCCACTGATCACCAATGTAAGGGACATTCTTTCCACTGACCACCAATGTAAGGGACATTCTTCCCACTGACCATCAATGTAAGGGACATTCTTCCCACTGATCACCAATGTAAGGGACATTCTTCCCACTGACCACCAATGTAAGGGACATTCTTCCCACTGACCATCAATGTAAGGGACATTCTTCCCACTGATCACCAATGTAAGGGGCATTCTTCCCACTGACCACCAATGTAAGGGGCATTCTTCCCACTGATCACCAATGTAAGGGGCATTCTTCCCACTGATCACCAATGTAAGGGGCATTCTTCCCACTGATCACCAATGTAAGGGACATTCTTCCCACTGACCACCAATGTAAGGGACATTCTTCCCACTGACCACCAATGTAAGGGACATTCTTCCCATTGACCACCAATGTAAGGAACATTCTTCCCACTGCTCCCTCATACATATATATGAGCTCTGATAAAATCAAGGTATGTAGGCTGCATTAGTGGCAAATAAATCAATGTCTATACATGTCATTAGGAGGAGATTCATAATTTGCTGATAGGATGAGAGAGCAGAATAACAGTGGGATTAGTTTATGAGTCTGATGCTTCTTCTTTCACCAATTGAAATGTGGAGAGGGGACCTAAGTGAAAGTGAAATTGAGGAACAAAAAGATTAGCAAACTCCCCCCCCCCGACACACACACAAACACACATCAGATAGGGCTGTACTGTGGGGAAGAGCTGTGTGAGTCTCAAGACTGGATGGCCAAAAATACATACACTGGAAGGTAAAACAGGTTCAAAGTATGTATTTCATGTTCATCTAATGTAACTTTCCTATCCTACACAGATGTAGCTAGGTACAAGGTACCATGACTAAAATCAACCCAAGTGTGTCAGTAAAATGTCTATGCTCAGTGCCTAAATATGTGTCCAAGGCTTTGCACATATATGTTAGCTCTTTCAGAAGATGCTCTAGGCTGTCTGTGTGAAACAACTCTTTTTTTTTCATGATCCTTTCACAAAAAATATTCATAATTTCATTCGAGGTATATAACATTAGCTCATATCATTACTTAGTCTATTTTATTTAACAAATTGATGTGCGAATGCATTTGTTTAGCCATAATGAATAATCTTCATAATCTGTGTAGTATGTTTTTTATTAGCGTCATCTCCATCTAGTGGCCAAACTGCGGTATTTTCCTGAAATATTCCAATCAGGAAAATACTGCATTATGGTCAATAAATGGAGCTGAGGATCATAGGAAATAAACCTATTAGACAAAATTTGGGGATTATCCATGACAGCTGTGCGAATGCTTAAGACATTCACACATTTTTTATAAATAGTCGTCTCATGTTTTTAGAGCTTACCTTTATTTATTTTAATCGTCTGGCGTACAATGAGAGGAGATTTCAGAGAAGTGTGTATCACTTGTATAACAAGTTCTGCCTCATCATCTCTCTCTTTGTCAGGAGTTATATGGGTAGAACACAGACAGCTGTACACCATGAAAGATCTCTTTAGTTTAAGAGGCTGTTTTTCCTTTTCCAAGAAAGAATGAATTTCATTGGAGGAGCTTAGAGTTAGACATTCTCCCCTCTGACTGTATTTTACAGTACATTTTTTCCCTCGTTGAGGTGGAGGATGTTTCCAGGACTCAATCTTGTGATTCTCTATGCCTTCAGCTCTCTTTAAGTACAAATGTACTTCAATATCGTTTGGTTTGAAACCTGAAACCATGAAGACCAGGGTGGACCTCTTCATATGAACCAAATCATCCACTCCGATAATCTCTGAAACCTTTGGTGTCACTGCAGGAAGAGATAACAAGGATCAGGACAGGAAGAGATAACAAAGATTGGGACAGGAATCAAGGTAACAAGAATTAAGAGGGGAAGAGATAGCAAGGATCGGGATGGGAAGAGGTAACAAGGACCGGGACGAGAAGAGGTAACAAGGATCAGGATGGGAAGAGGTAACAAGGATCGGGAAGGGAAAAGATAACAAGAATCAGGACAGGAAGAGATAACAAGAATCAGGAGGGGAAGAGGTAACAAGGATCGGGATGGGAAGAGGTAACAAAGATTGGGACAGGAATCAAGGTAACAAGAATTAGGAGGGGAAGAGATAGCAAGGACCGGGATGGGAAAAGGTAACAAGGATCGGGACGGGAAGAGGTAACAAGGACCAGGACAGGAAGAGGTAACAAGGACAGGGACGGGAAGAGGTAACAAGGATCAGGATGGGAAGAGGTAACAAGGATCGGGATGGGAAGAGGTAACAAGGACCAGGATTGGAATTGGTAACAGATTAGGAGTGGAAGAGGTAACAGGGATCGGGAGGGGAAGAAGTAACAAGGATCAGGAGGGGAAGAGGTAGCAAGGATCAGAATGGGAAGAAGTAACAAGGATCGGGACGGGAAGAGGTAGCAAGGATCGGGACGGGAAGAGGTAGCAAGGATCGGGACGGGAAGAGGTAGCAAGGATTGGGACGGAAAGAGGTAATAATGGCTGGGTCGGGAATAGGTAACAAGGATTGAGAGGGGAAGAGGTAACAAGGATCGGGAAAGGAAGAGGTAACAAGTACTGGGACGGGAATAGGTAACAAGGACCGAGAAGGGAAGAGGTAACAAGGATCGGGAAGGGAAGAGGTAACAAGGATCGGGAGGGGAAAAGGTAACAAGTATCAGGACAGGAAGAGATTACAAGAATCAAGACAGGAAGAGGTAACAAGGATCAGGACGTTGCCAAGAAGAATCTAAAGAACAATGGCTGTGGATGGTGATATACAGGTAGATCCCTAATTAAGCATAAACTTGTAAGTTGGACCAGATCCAAACCAACCTGAGCCCCTCTGACAGGAGTTATATGGGTAGAACACAGACAGCTGTACACCATGAAAGATTCCTTTTGGTTTGAGAGGTTTGTATGAACTTGGAGTTGGACATTCTCCCCTCTGGTGATCTTCTTTACATTATCTCACTCATTGAGGTGGAGAATGTTTCCAGGACTGATCACCAGAGGGAAGAGGTAACAAGGGTCAGAACGGGAAGAGGTAACAGGGGTCGGGACGGGAAGAGGTTTGAGAGGTTTGTATGAACTTGGAGTTAGACATTCTCCCCTCTGGTGGTCTTCTTTATATTGTCTCACTCATTGAGGTGGAGAATGTTTCCAGGACTGATCACCAGAGGGAAGAGGTAACAAGGGTCGGAACGGGAAGAGGTAACAAGGGCCGGGACGGGAAGAGGTAACGGAAGAAGGGTAACGGGACGGGAAGAGGTAACAAGGTCGGGACGGGAAGAGGTAACAAGGGTCGGGACGGGAAGAGGTAACAAGGGTCGGGACGGGAAGAGGTAACAAGGGTCAGGTGGGAAGAGGTAACAAGGGTCGGAAAGGGAAGAGGTAACAAGGGTCAGAACGGGAAGAGGTAACAAGGATTAGGATGGAAGAGGTAACAAGGATCAGGATGGGAAGAGGTAACAAGGATCAGGATGGGAAGAGGTAACAATGATCAGTAGCTAAAGAGGTAACAAGGATCAGGACGGGAAGAGGTAACAAGGATCATGAAGTTGCCAAGAAGATTCTAAAGAACAATGGCTGTGGATAATAATATACAGATGGATCCCTAATAAAGCATAGACTTGTAAGTTGGACCAGATCCAAACCAGTCTGAGCCCCTCTCCCATAACGAACCTCACCTGAAATGTTTAAAGTGAACTCCAACTTCCCTTCAGTTGTACAGGCTCCTCTCCAGTACTGAAACTGAATCCTCTGAATATACAGCATTATAAGCTGCAGCAAGTCAGATAGAGTCCACCTCATTTACTGGCTGGAGGATGTCGTCATGCCTTTTCCTTCCCAGCCTGGCTGTCCCTTTCACTAATTGGATTGCAGATTTTTCAGTCATGGAGGCTTAGCATCCTGTAATGGTGTGTTTATGTTGCCTAGGTTAGACCACATGCAAATGGAATTCCTACTCCTCTAGACTGACACCCACCCATCAAGGCATTTTTATTTTTGTGTAAGTCCTCCCAAGGGCCACCCCACTGGGATGAGAGCTCTTGAGAGGAGTACTGAGGCAAGGTGCTGTCATGTTTTCAGGAAACCATATACAGCACCCTGCTGGCCCCTCCCACTAGCCATGATCTCCCTGTAATGATGAGAGAAGCACAGAGACCTAGTGGGAATATCACTGGGTAAAAAATAGGGTGTAGCATATATGTGTGACCATTGGGTAGATTTACAATTACTTTTGTACTAGTGACCATTGTCACCAAAAAAGAAAGTAGGGAGGAGCACAGATTTTAGAGATGTTTTGAGGACAAGAGATGAGGGAAAACCTTCCAATAGAGATACCTGTTCCAGGGACAACTGTGTAAGGCCTTGTTAACACAGGTGGTCAGGGAATGGTAAAAAACAAATGGCTGAGCCATGATTTTAACAAAACACCCCTGCCTTCCCCCTGCCCCCCGACAAGTTAACATAGCCAGGCGCCATACTATTCCACGCTACAGGATGCGTTCAGCAGACATTGGATGGGGCTGTGCCAGGTGCGCACTGCCCAAGGGCCCGGGCTACATGAAATGCCCCTGGTACCTTTTATAGGCTTTTTTTGAGTGTGGGCAAGGACACAGGGGCCCCATGATCCCCTATTGCCCAGGGGCCCCATGAGTTGTCAGTCCGCCCCTGGGCTGTGCCACAACTGCTCTGCAATTATGTGTAATGCATGCAATTGTGGTGCGGGGTGCTTGTAATGGTTACACAGATAGCAACCTAGCAGGGGTTCTAACCTTTCCCTACTCTACCCAAAACTAAAAAATGTTTTTGCTATGCATACACTAGTAATATTTCATCAAGTGGGTACATCAAAAATTCTGCAACCGCCCTTACTTTACTACCACCCGCCAAACACAACAAATTCAAGCGGTTGCAGAGCGGTGGTGGCTTTCAGGGTAAACAGGAATACTTAACCCCTTGACTACCGGGCACTTATACCCCCTTCCTGTCCAGGCCAGGTATTTACTCGCCGCTGGGAGTTTTATTTTTTGCGCTATAAACTAAAAAAAGAGCAAAAAATTAGAAAAAAAAGTTTTTCTTTGTTTCTATAAAAATTTTGCATACGGGCAATTTTTCTCCTTCACTGATGTGCGTTGATGAGGCTGTACTGATAGGCAGCACTGATGGGCACTGATAGGCGGCACTGATGAGGTGGAACTGATGGGCGGCACTGATAGGCGGCACTGATGAGCTGGCACTGACTGGCAGCATTGCTGGGCACTGATGGGTGGCACTGACTTACGGCACTGACTGGCGACACTGCTGAGCACTGCTGGGCACTGATGGATGGCACTGCTGGGCTGTACTGATGGGCACTGT